ATCTTTAATACATAACACGATTAATAAAATGTCGTTCTGTATCATTTATAGACTGTCCTCGTGAAAAGATAAAGTATAGTAGTCGTATATATTCAATAAACGTCCCACAGTCGGACACGGCTTTGCTCTAAAAAAATAATTGTTTAGTCCTAGGGGACTGCACCAGTCCAGCGTCTACGCTGTGCAGGTTGGACATTTCAGGTTACATCGAAGTTTCTTTATATTTAGAAATACAATTGCTGACAGATGTAATATGTTGGTCGGCAGTTTGTGTGCTGTACTGGGAAGAGAAAAATTACGCCCTTCAAGGCCTATTGACAGTATACTACACTTGCAACCTATGGTGCAATTTCATGAGAGCATGAGAGGCTGTAAGCACCTTTCGCATGCAATATAATAACGGATTCATGATGTTAATGGAGCTGCCTGGTTTCCGCAATTGGAATGTATGCGCAAAAAAAAGATCATCACTGCTCTGTGGTCTACGGGCTAACTCCATCCTGAAGATTGTGGAGGGAGGTACGATTTCCCCACTTCCTTCAGGTCCTTGTTAGCAAAAAATAATTCTTGCTGACAAGCACCAAAACAACAAACTTTAATGTTTTTACTAACGTGGTCTTTAAGTAAAATGTATTATAAGGTGTTAAGCTTCGCATATGAATACAGTGTCACGAGACTTAGAAGGATGAGCACTTGAGACAATGCCGGAGCAAGTGATTCCAAGTTTTGATTTTGCCGCAGTTACCCAAGATGTTTGGTTGTCCTCATTCTTAAGTTCAATTTACACTGGTCCCGATCGATCACCTTTGCCAGGTAAACACAACAATTATAAGTGTTGACGGCAATCTCAAAATAACAAACAAACTATATTAAAATGTCGACAAATTAACATACACACATATTTAAATTTGATAGCAATAGAATACACTGAGAAGTACTAAAGGAATTTTTTTTAGTTAATAAATTTACTTTTAAAGGTGTCGATACTATCATTAAATATATCTAAATCAGGACTGCTAACAGTTCTTTCGTTGTAAGTTTTACACATTCTTGTAATAGGCGAGTGACATCGGATATTAGTACGACAACAATAGGGAACTCGGAATGTTTTACATGGTTTATTAATATAATAATAAGTACAGAAATAATTTCAAATGGAGAATTACTAAAAATGTTCTGTACCAACATGACTCCCAGTTTAATACTCGTATAAGTAAAGAAGTGTATACGTATACACCGATATCTAGTATCTGTTAGGTAAACAAAGATGGTAGTAAGGAAAACAATGCAATAAATAGTACGCAGGGAGTTTGTTTGCTAGCCCGACGTACTATCTTCGAGGAGCTGCGTTTGTTGTTTGATTTTCACATTACCTCGCCTCGATTGATTTGACCTGTCACGCCTTTGTCACTTAAACGCAATACTGAAGTAAAGTTACGTGTAATGAGAAAATGACGCAGTTATTTCACGTTTACTATTATTAATTTGTATTTGTATTTGTTTTCGTAATGACATAAGTACGTCGTGTACGCCATACTTCGCCTCTTCGGTTGTATCTTATACCTTGTAGTCCACATCAATCTTACTGTTTTTATTGCAATTGTCACACTTTTCCCGTATTTAATTATAAAGACATTTTTATTATTAACAACAAAAATTGTATGAAAATAAGTAAAACCATTGATTACACAAGCCTACAATTAGTGAATATAATAATAAATGTTCCCTCCAACCGAAATTCCGTCATGAATATTTAATGATTTGTTTTCTTTTCCGAAAAGTAACAAAAATCGGAAATGGTTGAAATATTGCAATGATTTAAATCTCAGCTATAAAAAGTATCCGAGACTGGTGGAAGAAACTGATAATTAATGGGGCAACATTTTCAATCGCGCCGCGGCAGGCGGCGGCGGCAGGGCGCGCACGGCGTCGGCGGGAGCATAGGCCACCGCTACCTGCCCCAAACGTTAATTCAATCGCTCCTCCCATCACCCTGATCGCTATACATTTATATTTGTCACAAATAAAATAACCCCCCAAACGCATTTATACGAAATAAGGGGCGGTTAGCGAACTGGAAAAAATGCTTAACCTGCTTCCCCCAATCACATTTACTCCTCCGTCACAGAATTATGATGAATGTTAAAAGATTTCGTCTTAAGCGTCGTCGCAGATATCGCTTCTTCCGCCCTTGAGTTTTGCTTTATAGGCGAATGCATTTTAACAGGGAATTTGCTTCCTTTAATGGGAAATTCGTCGTTTAACTGATACGTACGAGGAAATTGACTCAGCCGTAATAAAGGTTGATTTCAATTTTGTTGCAGAGTCAAAAACTGGGCGTTAAAATTCGGCGTGGATTTATGGGAGTTCGGCCGACATTTCACAAAAATGAACCAGATACAAAACGTAAGTATCCTACTATTTATTTTTCCCACACGCAAAATAGGCGCTACGACGTCGAGATGTGGATACCACCCCGTTACACCATAAACCATTGTACATATTTTCACTGGGTATTTTCTTTGTGAGCGTTGAAAGTACCCGTATCGGTCGAACGCGTCCGTACAAAAATACAGCGAGTTACCACTTTCGCACTCTTTTCACTTTCGAAAGCTAGTATGCCGCTCTTCACTATTTTCACTAATATTTCCATTGTTACTGGAGAAGCGATAATGTTTTAGAGATAAAATAAATTTGACTAACAGTTGAATTACGTAGTTGCACCTTCAAGCGCGTAATGATTGTAAACAAAAACTCATTCACAAAAATTATTGCTGTTGACAAGTCCCGAGATAATATGGCAGTACCTAAATGAGTGTTTCCATAAGAACATTGTATTGATGTATAAGCGAATTTACATTTCTGAAGTGTCGTGTCGTGCTACGTCAGAACGGTATCGGTTTCATACATTTAATATGGTTAGATTTTTTAATGTGCCGCAATCTGACGTGACGGCTTGTGCTGTGTCTATGAAACCGATACCGTTCGGAAGAGTCGCGATACGACACGTCAGACAAATGTGAGTCGGACTTAATATATAATATGTAATCGTAATTATATGCCACAATAACGATAAATTTGTCAATTTGTCAAAATGTCCATTTTGAATGTGATTTTGGAATATAGACGTGTGAGGCCAACTGCCACAGAGCAAAAAGATTTAACGACCGATATGCGATCTCGAAAATACTTAATGGAGTTGCTAAAACAGTTGAGCTTCAACAGCATTATCGATTCCCTTCTTACGATAGCGTCGAATCTGTACTACCGCAACCTAATTACGAGTGTAAGTATCGAAAGATACCTGCCCAGCACTCATATCATAATTTTTTTGTAATATAAAGGGTTAGGACGAAGAAGTCGTGCGGCTGGTTAAGTAATATGCCTGTCCGTAATAGTTGCAGTACCACTCAGAGCTTTAAAAGCCACAAAGATCTCAGGGGCATTGCCACTGCGCCCGTCACCGCGAGATGTAAGTTGACAGGTTCCATGTGCCTGTAATATCACCAGTGCCCTCACCTTTCAAAACTGGAAGTGGTGGCAGAAATAGTTAAGCTGGCAGTACTTCCTTTGACGAACTCTTTCACAAGGAGTTCTACTGCGACTATAGAGGATGTAAATTTGATACGGGGCAGCAACGTCCAAGCAAAGCTACCTTAATCGTTGTGGTTACAGGAAAACCGTTCTAGAAGACTATCCATGAATTTTGAAGATATTTTGATAGGCGTACACAGATTTTGAAAAAATGGTACAGTCAGGTCTTGCTTTTATCTTTAAAAGGCAATTTTTACAAAACTTTTTTTTATGCCATTCAATCCGATCTCTGGTAAGGATCTATAGTCTATATATCAATAGTATAACTGAGGTAAGAGCACTCGAAATGGCAGAAATCGCAAAAATCTTTTACCACACATTTTAAATGAAAAGTTTTTGTTAGAAACGAAACTGGCCACTACTCTAAAAATAAGACTTAAGTAAAACCAAATTATAATTATATCACTATTTTTTAAATTTGGAACAGCTTTGTTTTGTTTTGTTAATAGAGAATTGTCACTTTTAAGACGATTTTTAATCAAAATATTCTCAAGTGTGGAAACAAATTAATTGGAACACATAGTCGTATCAAATGGCTACCGCGCAGTCCTGATCTGACGCCCCTTGATTTTTTCTTTGGGGCTATGTAAAAAATTAAATTTATAAAAAAAAATACAAGTGTTCAAGAATTGAAAGACGCACTTGCAGCAATTTTCAATAGAATCCATCTGAGTAGAATTTCAGCCGCTACTCGCTCTTTGCGGAAGAGAGCAAATCGATGTTCCGCCAAGGCGGCAATCAATTCGAGCACTTACTATAGTAGACTTTTTGTTATTTTGCTTTTAGTTATTCGTCAAAAGCAAAATTTCAATTTCGTTGTCAATTTGTTAGTTTCCTTATTGTTCGTTTCCTTAACTATAATATAGAATAACTGATTACTAAATAGGAGCCTACAAAACGTATGGTAAAAAGTTTTTGCGATTTCTGACATTTAGAGTACTCTTACCTCAATTGGTCCCATAGAGACTATTGATCCTTACCAGAGACCGGATCGAATAGTAGGGACATATTTAGTAATCAGTTATTCTAGGTTAAGGAAACGAACAATAAGGAAACTAACAAATTGACAACGAAATTGAAATTTTGCTTTTACATGACAACGTATTATGTATTTCAAAATAAAAACAATAACAAAAAGCAAAATAACATAAAAAATATATGATAGTAAGTACTCGAATTTATTGCCGCCTTGGCGGATGCATCGATTCGCTATCTTCCGCAAAGAGCAAATTGTCGGCTGAAATTTTACTCGGATGGATTCCATTGAAAATTACTGCAAGTGCGTCTTTCAATTCTTGAACAATGCTGTATTTTTTTTATAAATTTCATTTAACTAATACATAATTCGTTGTCAATTTGATAGTTTCCTTAACTACCTGATTACTAAATATGTCCCTACAAAATGTATGGTAAAAAGTTTTTTGAGATTTCTGACATTTCGAGTACTCTTACTTCAGTTGGTCCCCTAGAGAGTATTGATCCTTAACAGAGACTGGATCGAAAAGCATAAAAAAAAGTTTTGTAAAAATTGCCTTTTATCTTGCTGACTGTACCATTTTTCCAAAATCTGTGAATGCCAATCAAAATATCTTCATAATTCATGGATAGTCTTCTAGAATCGGTTTCCTGTAACTAAAACGATTAAGGTGGCTGGCCTTGCTGCCCCGTCTCAAATTTACATGTATAACTACTACACTCTTCTTGGTCTTCTTGCAACTACATATTATGTTATAATACTATCGAAGTGGTATTGAAATAAGTAGTTTAGCCATATGTTGCGTTCCCCTGACCTAAATAATTGTTACAGTATTTTTTTTATTTCACAAAGAGCAGTAGAGCTCCCTGTGAAAGAGTACATCTAAGAAAGTGCTGTCACATTACCTACTTCTGCCGCCAAGCAGTAATGTGACGATTACTATGTTCCGATTTTGAAGGGTAAGGGTACAGGCGAAATTACAGGCACATGGGATTTGATAACTTATATTTCAGGGTGATGGGCTCAGTGACACAGTGCCCCTCAGATCCTCGATCTCTGCAACTGTCATAAACAGGCGTGTGGCTTACCACCAGGCGCACGACTTGTTCTTCCTGTCGCTTAGTATCATAAAAAAATATTTGAATTGGTAAATGAACGAGTGTTTTTCTAGGATTTTACATCAAACTGACTCGATGGCGTCGTAATAAGTAAGACAAGTAACGTTGTTTATACTTCGTTGACCTACCAATTATTCTTATAATTAAATCACATTTGGGACATTAAATTATTGTAAAGAGCTCCTGACATTCTCCTGATATCATATCAAGTATTTTAAATACTTCTTATGAAATCTTTTTTATTTATATCACTTGACAGTGTGATGACAACCATTAATAATTTTTCAACACATTTGCTCGTAACGGGCTTCTTATTGTATCGCTTTTAGGCTCATAAACCTAGCTATTGAACACGCGTTTGTAATTATATTACGAAACGTGTGTGTAATAAGTATAGGCTTAACCGGATTAAGATGTATCTCACAACAAGGCCTATGTATTAAAACTATGCATTCTTAAATTATCCGGGTTATGTCTTTGAAATTAACTTGGTCTATTAAAAAAACAGCTCTAACCTACATATTATAAGATTCAAATTACAATGACAGTAATCCCAAACAAACAGGGTCACAGTTTTTTTTTTTATTTCTGTTTAATACGGTTGTGTAGTCTTACCTTACAAATAATATTTTTATTAATAAATTTATGTTTCTTATTTGATGTGATAAATATAGAAAAACATACACAATATACACCTATAAAACTTTAATTGAATAAAATTACTTATTTTGGATAATATTTTACACGAATTTGAGTGAAATAAGGACATATTTATATTATTTCGCATTGGCTGTTTAGGAATTTCACCTAAGTCTCATTATGGCCGAAGCACCTGCGCGCGCATATCCGCGCCGCGGCGCCAGGCGCAGAAAAAATAACTCTGCGCGCCAATTTCCATTGATACGTTCGAAACATTTATATACGCTGTGTGTTAGATAATTACCTAGGTGTTTAAAATGTCCTGCTCAAGCACGGAAGAAAACATTTTGATGGATTTAACACCGCCCGAAATCCTCACAGAGGCACAAAACGCAAGTGACAGTTTATTACCTTCGAAATCCAGAGAAAAATACATGGCTGCATATGAAACTTTTAATTAATGCCAAATAAAGCTATTTTTCATTTCCATTTTACTCAAGTTTGTTTCATTTTCCTCGCAAATGTGTTGAAAAACGTCGTATGAAACACGTGTGCTTTGATCATTACACTCTCAGCTTTCTTATCGCGCTCGCCTGCGGCTCGCGCGAGTAATAACGCCTCGTGTGTAATGACCAACTTAGCACACTTGTATCATAATGTACTATTAAAATCCTCATCAATAACCTTTTTGAACTATCGTACACTATGGAATCCTTAGAGGATGGAAAAAAAATATAAGAAAGGAGCTGCCCTAAGTGTGGAATGAACGTGCATACCTATTAGAGGATGGAAAAAAAATAAAAGAAAGGAGCTGCCCTAACTACAGAATCAACGTGCTTATAACCAAAATTTGAAAGTTACAAATGGCGGATTTCTTTAGTGTTATACCATAATCTATAGATAAGTCATTATCAACATGCAAATGTATGGCTTGAATGTTGAAACTGTTTTTTTTTTTGTTTCTTTAGTTTACGGTAACCAAAGTATGCCTAAACAAACACAAGTCTAATAATTTAATCTCGAGAGAGATATTATTATAAATGTCATCACACATTTTTAAACATTTTAAAATTTATTTT